CGCCATACCATAAAATAATTTAATATAAACTTATTGCTAATATTTATTGGATAATATTATATTCAATGAGTATTGATCAGTGAATCTGAATAAAAATCATAAGTCCAATGCTTTAAAAATAGGGACAGAATGGTCTAATGACTACACCAAATTGTAATTTATTATGGAGATACTGAATTTTCAGGGACAGGGATGTGTGACAATTAAAATTTCAGAGAGTCAAGACACATTTTTCCCCATGCAGGTTTGCAAAAAAATATTTTTGTTCCCAGCTAGATTTACCTGGATTTCCTATTAGCTTTTAACATGTACGTTGGAAAAAATCACATTTTTTCTTGAAATTTTGTGAAAATGGTAGTGGTGTTTTTTCCAAAATAAGACCTGGCCTGAAAATAAGACCTAATTTGAATTTTAAAAATGATTTTAATTAAACCCTACCCGTAAAATAAATTTAAAAAGTGTGGGAGAGGAAAGGTTCAATGACGTGATGGTAAGGTGAAGATTACACCACTATTCAAGATTGTGTGATGTCAGCATGTCACAATCACAATTATGATGTTTGTCACTTGATTTTTGTATAGGAAATACAAATAAAAACAATGAATGTCAGTTTTTATATAATGTTTATTAAAAAATCTTGTGATTTCCTACAATGTAACTTTATTTTCTGATAAATGAACACAAAAGACCGCTTCCAAAAAAAACCATAGTGTTATTTTTCAAAAGAAAATAAATCTGAATCTTGTCTAAATTTCGGGTAAACACGGTAAGAAGTGCTGTACAGTGTACAAAACTGCTATGCGTAAAAAGCCACATAGTCATTCTTTGTGTAGCAATTTTTTGTTCCTTCCAGAAGATCGTAAAAAGGAAATTTTCACAGATTAGAATTTAAATTCAATTTAATTTTTATTTTTTTCTTGAAGATTTACGTATTCGGGTCGCCACCGATCCTAATACTCAGTTTAAATAATCAAAGCTTCTTACATCTTTTCACGACCCACTAAGATTCCTTTTGCGACCCATTGTCACGACCCATAGTTTGGGAACCGCTGTACATAGAGGTTCCAATTGCTACATTACCTTCAATTTATTGCTAATTGGTCATTTTTACAGAGATGAGCAAGTCAGTCAATGAATGGGGAAAGATTCATTATATAATAAAAACCGTATTTCAAGTCTACCCAGCAAATAAGACAATGTCTATTTTTAGCACTCAAAAAGTGGGTTTTTCCATATAGCCCTCCAATAAAACGAGCAAAAAATTTTTTTTCTCTGTTGGTCAGTTTTATAGGGTTAGAACCAGTTATGTTTTTTCGATACAATCATATTCACTGAATTAACTATTCTAAACAATATCGCGTTATTATCTGGTTAAAAAGATAGTACCAATCATTTTGAACAACCTATTAACTGGAACGATGAAATAACATTTGAATGTTATGAAGCTTGAACAGTGTGATAAGTACTACAATGCTCATTCACGGGTTGGTTAACAGGTGTGTTTCCAGTCTGGTGTCGTTTTTTTTGTTCCCCGAATTGGCAAAACCGAAGGGTCATAAATAACTAAATAGCCATTCTCTTTTTTTATTTTTGACGTACCAATAACGTGTGTAAATAGAGAGTACTTCATCCCACGAGCCACGTTATTATTACAAAGTAGTCTTTAAAAAGGTAAGGACAAATAATAGGTGGCAGTATAAAGTCAATTAATAATATTATTAATTAATACTAATATTGACATTACATTATATAATATAGCAACCCGAATATAAAGTTAACATGTTTGAGAAGATGCCTGCGAAAAATATGCTGACGGCAGTAAAAACACTGTTTCGAAACGCCCAGCCCTGGTGAGGAAATTAGTATTTCTGGATTCATGCTTAAAAGCAGAAGGAGAATGAATTTGTATATGTTGTTGTGTTCAGAAAGATATATATCTGCATACTCTGGTAGAAAATGGAGGTCGGGGAAGAAACACGCAAAAATTGTCAGAATTTGGTCAAATAGTGTAGGAGCCAATGTTTTTTTGTAAAGCGATATTAGATTCCACTTTAGTTTATGTCCAAACCATATTTGTTAAAATGAAATTCTTTCTTAGTTTTAATTTTCTTTTCGTCTAATTTTATTATCAGATAAGGCAATCCTATATTTGGCTTTATTACAGAACAACTCAAGAAAACAACACTAGCAATGAGATTTTTGAATTTGTTTTAAATACAACTCATTATTGAATTTATTTTGGTTATAAGTAGGGATGGCCATAACCGTTACTGGACTACTCTGAATACATTTTAAAAAATATTTTCGAATCTGGAATTTCGAATACATTCTAAAATCCCACAAAGCATAAAAGTTATTACCTTCCTTAAAATTCAAGGACATAGCAGTTAGGTAAGTTTGAATAATATTATCATAATAAAGCAATTCGTTTAGTTGAAATGCATGTATATGAAAGGTATGTATAATCGTTTGATATATGAACAAAAATCATTTAGCAAAATATTTGTAGGTAATGTCGGATTAAAAGGACGTTCTTGTGTATCACTGTCATAATTGAGATTTATTGGAGGCCCACTACTGGCTCGGGGGTGTGGCATATTCTGATAACTGTTAGGAATACGCCTGCATCTCTGATTATCCTGTGTGGGTTCGCATGCTTGAATCCCATGCGAGGTTGATTATATGGGAAAAGATTGCCACTGGTCGGTTGCGGGTTCCTACCTCGCCAAGTCTATGCATCTGAAAACTGGCTAACTACCGGTAGTTAATCCCACACCCGACATGGAATGGTAATTGGGCGAGAGGCCTTAGTTCGCCATATGATTAGGCCATTTTATCAGCTTTCGTCTCCCTTATTATGTTTATGTTTTTTATTAGCTTATTATGTAAAACTTATCCTATCCACTAGAAAATGCCCAGCAGCCCACGATTGGACCTCGACCCACAGTTTGCCGAGCACAGGCTTAGAAAGCAAAATTGATTGTGCTTGCAACATGTTGATTTAAAACAAGGGTAGTGAACCGCCACTGACTTGTGGGTCACAAAGTGTATATTATGCTTTATGAGTAGGCTTACCATACTAGTTCAGTGAGAGAGAGTGACTCCCTATATTGTTATGTCATATCTGTTTCATGTGTGATATGTTAATTTAGCATCTAACATTAGCTGCAATGCCATTAAATTATTCAAATGCCAAAAAATGTATGTTCTTCAATAGGTATAAAGGTTCGCCATCCTTGATTTAGAACTTTCGATTGTATAGTGAAAATTGACTTTTATCTATAAGTAATTAGCTACTTTTAATGACAGGTCTTTGATAATCTGAAGCAAAACTTACCTAATATTGAAAGTTGACATCATCTATTTCCCTTTCAATGGATTACTAATGGCGCCCACCAGCGGCAGAAATACATTCTACAGCAGGGATGTGCAACAGGCAACCCGCGGGCAACAATCCAACCCTCCAAGACATTTAGTGTGGTCCTAGTCAACACTCAGATTTTCCCCATCAAGCATAAAATTCTAATTTGACAGTTTATATTTAAAAGGGCTCTCACATCCGTAAAAATACAAATGCTTTTTGGCCTTGTCTCTGCATTAAATCTTTCTTAAAATCTTGCTCTTTCTTTTTAGTAAATCTTTTGCCCCGTGTATTTATTACTGTAAGGCTAAGCAATAGCTTCATTCTCTTCTATTGCCCCCCACATGGCCCTCTGATAGTCACTAATGTATTTTGTTGCTGCAGGCTTGTTAACGAGATATTGTGATGTAATAATCCTTCAAGGTGGCCCAGCTAGATGTCTGAAGTTTGTTATATGGCCCACCGACAAGAAAAGTGTTGCACACCCTTGCTTTACAGCAACCTAGATTAGGTGGTTCAATGGCCTACCACAGGGTGGTCCAAGGTTGTCGGCCTCGCGGTCCACATTATCATTCGTTCGCAGGCCACAATAGTGCCAAGAATAGGTAATTAGTGCAGTACAAAACAAACACTTTATTGTCCAAACACCAAATAAAGCCAAACCACCAAATAAAGTATACCATGCAAAAATATTACTGTATATACATTTAGTGTAAGATTTCAAACTCCTCATCTCGGAAAAAATGATATAGGAAAAAAATACCGTTTTAGATTGTCACCGACACAACTTGCAGACATATTAAGCAATTATTGTGATATTTTCCCTCCCATATTCAGTTAAAAATCTGTTATTCAACTTTCTTTCTAAACTCATGTTCAAAAATTAACTTATAAATGACTGAGATTAATTAATTACCGAATTTCACCAAATTTGAGATACAGAAGGATAATTACTAAATTTTCTGACATATTGGCAGCATTTTTTGTAACACTGTTTAAGCTGGTTGCAAAAAGAAACACCCGACATGAATTACATCGTTCGGCCATTATATTAATATTTAGGGACCTCCTGAAGTATGCGCACCAAGATGGCGCACAACCTGAAGTCAGGTAGTGTACCAGGTTAGGGTTCAGGTTATGCGACATCTTAGTGCGCATACTTCAGCAGTACCATATTTAGTTATCAGGCATACCCAACCTATAGGCTAACAGATTCCTATTAGATTTTTAGTTTACTATGAAGAATATTCTGTTAGCGTATATTCCCGACCAGAAAGATAGAAAGCCAGTTAACAATTTAGACTAGCAAAGCACATTATTCTTTCGCTAGTTGCCTCAGCTAACCATGACACTAGTCAATTCATTGACATTAGTGATGAAACAATATGTCAAAAAAAATTTTCTAGTCATTTTTATGAAAAAACAGCGCCAAATGGGATTTTTGTTCACTCTCGCGCAAATGCGACGCGGGCCAAAGATAATGAAGCGGCGGGCCATGGTTTGGACCACCCTGGCCTACCATATCACAACTTTAATTTATTTCATGTTGTTGCAATGCGAACCCTCAGTGTAGTGGATTCTATAGTTTCATTTGTATTTTGATCATGTTGAATAATTTCACAGTTCTTATTTATTTCAGCTGAATAAACTAGAAGTCAGTTATAACGAGAACCTTGGAACGGATGGTTTTGGTGAACTTGGATTAGTTGTTACACAATGCCAGGTAAAGACATTTGATGCTGGGAATTGCAATCTGACAGCAGAAGAAATAAAAGCTTTTAAAGAAAACACTGGCAATGCAAAGGTAGGAGGAGACTTCATGTGATGAGCATGAATGACTAAACAGCATAAATTTGAACTGATAATTACCGGTAGTTTATTAGAGGATTGGTGGTTGGTGCATGTATTAAAGGGAATATGCAACAAAATATCAATCCCTATCTCTAACGCATGCCACTTATAATTGAAAAAAATCATCTAATTTTTGCTCAGAACAAGGCTCTACACAGTCGGTGACTATATACAGAGTGTCTCACTGGCTTGTCTTACTGATTATATATGCTTATTGCCCAACAGCAATTTGCACCTCTTTTCTTGGGTTAATCTCCTTGTCATTCTGTGGGTTGATGAAAAATGCAAACAATAACTAAATTTTACTACTTATCCATATTATGTTTTCTGAAAATATTAACGCTCTATGATAACTACCCGAAAAGCAAATTAAAATTAAAACTGTATACCGGTACTTACTTTTGAGACACCCTGTATATTTTAGGAGTCAAAATAGGCATTTGAGAGAATTTAGGTAATCATTTATTTACTCAAATCCCCTTTAAAAGACTCGAAGGAACTCGACTCGCACAATCAAAATATCTTGACTCAAGTTACCACTAGAGAGATTAGACTTGAGATTTTTGAGCTAGTCTTTAAGATATAAAAGAATTGATCAAATATTATTATCCCTGTTGATTGACGTTGTATTGAAAAATGGTAAATTTATTTAATTGCTTGTTGCATCAATAACTCGAGAATAGGGGTGTGTCAAACTGCTGCCCAGGGTGAGTTTCTGATAATGATGCCCCTTATACCTATTCTTTAAAATAATTTTGGGAATGAACAAAATATATTTGTTGTTATACATATATCATACTAAGCAACAAACTCACTTCGAGACAGTTGCTCCTATGGCCCTCCCTCTAGAGCAGGGGTGTGCAACATTTTTCATCAGCGGGCCATACAACCAACTTCTGACATATAGCCGGGCCACACAAAAAAATTATCTGGAAAGCCAACAGATAAGATCGCGGCTATCGCTTACCCTTACAGAAATAAATGCACTTGATAAAACGGCAAAAGGTTTAACACAGTGACAACAGCAAAAAACATTGTGTACTTTTATCCATATGATAGCCTTTCTAAACATTAACTGTCGGATTAAGATTTTGGGCTTGATGTGGAAAAATCTGAGTGTTGATTAGGTCCACACTAAATTGCTTGGCGCGCCGGGTTGTTGCACACCCCTGCTCTAGAGTCTATACCAATGCTCTTCAATCTTTTTGTTATTGTGGAACCCCTGAGATAACTTTTCGTTTTTTATGGAGCCCCAATAAACAAAATTAAAAAAAAAAAACAGGAAATACCCGTAACACGAAATATTTGTAATTCAAATATTTCTACTTCAACAACGAAACAGAAAGACGGTAACGAGCGCGAAATTCAATGACTAGGTTGTTCTTGCATTTCCTTTGCAATCTTCTTGAATCGTGGCTCCCTGGCGCTCAATGCCATTCTCATACTTATGTCTACAACACTCTTTAAACAACTTTGCAAGGACGCATGAACATGCTGAAGCAAGAATTAATTTCTCCTGAAAAAAAAAACGCGGTACCCCTAAGGAACCCAATAAACTCACGGAACCCCACTACATATATTGCGGAACCCCTGTTGAAGAGCACTGGTCTAGACCAATGAAGAACAAACTACGGCTCGCGGGTCAAATCCGGCCCGTGGGTAATTCAATCCGCACCGTCTGATGCTGCCACGCCCACAACCAAACTAAGACCAAATTGTGATGTTTTGGGATCAGGGAATTTGTCAAGATTGTGATTAAATTTAGTTTTGGCACAAGGCTTATTGTTTTCCCTGTTGCTTTTGTAACCTTGTATACATATTGTTCACATAAAATGTAACTTTTACGTCACGCTTACATGGCTCGACAGCCTAGATGGGCAAAATTGTTGGCCCCCGGTCTAAAAACCTTGCCCAACGACCTCCCCCCCCCTGCTCGAGATACTCCGTGTTGATGTCATAAAGTACATTTGTTATCACAATAATTGAAAGATTTGAAAACATATTTTCTATACTAGTAGCAAACTTTTCAACCTTTCACGATTTTGGCTCTATAATAAAGAGAGTAAGAGAATATGGGTGGCCATTAGTTTAGTAAATTTGATTTTAAATGCTGTTACTCCTATGATAACAAATCAAAAATTTCACAGTTTCCATAAAATACAAGTTCAGGCTTGATTTCACTCCAGCTAAGGCTTGGTGAGGAAATTAGTATTTTTTGATGCATGCTTAAAGGGAGAGAGAGAAGGAATTTGTATATATCGTTGTGTTCGGATAGATATATATGTGCATACACTGTTAAAAACATGTAGGTCAGAGATGCCATATCTGATTTGGTCAGAATTTGGCCAGAAGTTTCAATTTTATTTTATATTATTTTATTATTAGATGAGGCATTTCCGTTGACCCTAGTAAGATTAATTTTATATCACAAAGCGGTTTCTTTTTGTAAGTTTCCACTTTCAGATTTCAAACAATATATTTGTTTATTGCTGACATAAAATATGTTTAGTGTATTGGAGTACTGATGTTGTAGTTTTCATTTTTATTCTCCCAAGTCCTAAGAGCTTCACCAAGAATGAGGTAAGCAATCTTGACACACAAAGTACAATTTTGGTTTGTTGAGGTGTCACACACACTTTGGTGTGCAAAGGTTTTTCAACTTGGCTTTGTTCGGTCAACTGTGTTCGGCAATGCAATGCTGTGACATATTAGGTTTCTTGGAGATAAATTCTTAGTTCGGGAATAGGGAGGCACAAGCCTTCCAAGAGAGAGGGAGGCGACATTGGTCCATTTTCATGACTAGGAACGAGTACTATGATGTTTGGTCTCGTCATGCTGTAGTGTTTTATTACAGCCTCAAGATTTTTTTATAATAATAATTTTTAAATACAACTCATTATTGAACATATTTAGGTTATTAGTAGGGATGGCCATAACTCAATACGAATACCTTCTAAAAAATATTGGGTCGTACCCCCCCCCCCCTTTTGGAGAAAAAAATTTTGATGTGTAATTTCTTCTACAAAAAAGCAACAGCGTCGTTTTACGATTGCGCATCATGGTTTCGGGGTCAAAACGATATTATTGTGTGCGTACACCCTGTACGCAATCAACACCGCCACACTCTTTTCTTCTTCACGATATGTTATCTTTTGTCTTCGGCGCTGATAATGATGAATAGGAATGTGTAATTGTTGATTGCAATTCCGGAAAGCGTATTTTCCTTTCTCTCCATGAAACGAATTTAACCGCCGTTATGGGCGCTCAAAGGGAGAGAAGGGTTATAAGCTAATTTAGGGACTTTCTTTCCCCGATCACTTTTATTAATACAAATACCAGCGCATTGGAGAGCAAAACAGAATTTATTAACATTAATTTACAACGAGTTACGGGTAAGAATTAAACCGACGGCTATCGCTAACAAGTAGAAACGATAAACTTGAAAAGATTTCGCATAAAGCGTATCAACACCGTTTTTGTAATATAAGAAACGTCGAAACAGATAAGTAAGACAAGTAAATAATGTATTTTATAGAAGTTTCATGAGATATTGGGGAGAAATATTATTTTGACCACGTAGAAATGCCATTATTGCCGATTTTTTTGCGTGTTTAGTTAGTATCAGTGTTCTAACCCAAAGCTGAGTTACGTAAATACTCAACACTGAGTATTCAAGAGATTACCAATTTGCGTATTTTTTCAATTATTATTTAATACAAAAGTAACAGGAACACGATCTAAAATTCAAATCATAGAAATTTCAACTATCCGCTTCTCAAATATCGCATCCCGGGGTGAGTAATAATAATATCGTTCGCTTAAAATTGGAACCGTAATTTACAAACTGGGATACAAATCCTACACAGAAGATAAAAATCAGAACAAAATTAATTTTTGTTGTGAATGCACTCCTTAATAGTTGTCTTTAAAATCTTCGCCGATATGAATTCACACTTCTGTCCGAAATATAAAAACCAAACTACGATATCCGTCGTTACGTGAGAATTAATATTTGCTGCGAATAAAAAGAGTGCTTTAATATAGTTTAACAACATTAATTGGAATATTGGCCGCCGAAAAGATAGCGGTGACAAAAATTTACTGCAGCCTTCGATTATGACAAAATTATGAAATAAAAAACGCCGCATTGTTGCAGAGTTTTCAGTCTTCTTGTAAAATCCCAAAAAAATATTTAATGTCACGGCGATCGTTTCGGCGCCGACATTCCAAATAATGTTGTTCAAAATGTCAATACTGTGTCCGTTAAAAATATTCGAATATTAAAAAATACCATTTTGCCTTCCACTAATCACGGCGCATGTGAATAATCATTGAATTGCAATAAAAAATCAACTTCATTAATATCAATAATTTTCAAGTAATAGTTCCACATTTCATGAATTTGATTGGCGCTACATGCGAGTGTGTTTTTGTACATATAAACCATTATGACGCTACTGACGTCTGTGAGTTGTAGTTCTCTCCAAATTTAATTTTCGCGATTTTTGATGTTTCATTTCTAAAATGCGGATGCCGGCTGACTATGGATTAATGGTCGATGTTTAAAATAGGACTTGCAAAATATTCACCAAACACCGTCAGGCAAAGACGTCAGGCGGGCTACACATAACTGCGTCGTGAATTGCAGTTTTATTGCATTGTTTTAACTTCACCGTAACCCCAAATACAGTATCATGGCAGTGCAATGGACCCAACCATTTTCAAAAGTTTGAAAATACGTGCATTTTTATCTATAGGAAATATTTGAATACCACTACCTTTGAACTTGGAAACTGAAATCCATTTGCTTGTGTATTTTCTTTAATTTTAATGATATAAACTCTGGAAACACAGTCATAAGTTTATTGACTGCCCTCTCCAAACATTGATTGTGGTCCAACATGTGATTTAGAACAAGGATGGTGAACCACGGACTTGTGGATCACAAAGTGTACATTAGGCTTTGTGAGTAGGCTTACCGTACCATATTAGTTCAGTGAAAGAGAGTGACTTACTGGTATACTCTATTGTTATGCCATAACTGTTTTATGTGTAATATGTAAATTCTGCAGCAAGCATTAGCTGCAATACCATTGAATTATTCAAATGTCGAAAAGAAAATGTTCTCCAATAAGTATAAAGGTTCGCTATCCTTGATTTAGAACTTTTGAATGTATAGTAAAAGTTAACTTTTTATCTATAAGTAATAACTGAATTAATTAATTTTCTGGGGCAAAATACAAAATGCTTTTTGGTCTTGTCGCTGTGTTAAATCTTTCCCTGTGCATTCATTACTGTAAGGCTAAGCGATAACTTGATTCTCCTGTTTTACCCTCCGCATGGCACTCTGCTAGTCACTAATGTATTTTGTTGCTGCGAGCTTGTTGCAACATATTGTGATGTAATAATCTCTCAAGGGGGTCCAATTAAATGTATGCAGTTTGTTATACGACCCACCGACAAAAAATGTTACACATCCTTGTTCTACAGCAAACTAGATTAGGTGGTTCAATAGCCTGCCATATCACAACTTTAATTCATTTCTTCTGTTGCAATGTGAACCCTCAGTGCAGTGGATTCTATAGTTTCGTTTGTATTTCCATCATGTTCAATAATTCCACTGTTCTCATTTATTTCAGCTGAATAAACTAGATGTCACTAGAAACAAGAACCTTGGAACCGATGGTTTTGGTGAACTTGGATTAGTTGTTACACAATGCCAGGTAAAGAGATTTGATGCTGGTAAATGCAATCTGACAGCAGAAGGAATAAAAGCTTTTAAAGAAAACACTGGAAATGCAAAGGTAAGAGGAGACTTCATGTGATGAGCATGAATGACTAAACAGCATGAATTTGAACTGATAATTAGTTTATTAGAGGATTGGTGGTTGGTGCATGTATTAAAGGGAATATGCAACAAAATATCAATCCCTATCCCTTCCCTATCCCTACGCATGCCACTTATAATTAAAAAAAATCATCTAATTTTTGCTCAGAACAAGGCTCTACACAGTCGGTGACTATATACAGAGTGTCTCACTGGCTTGTCTTACTGATTATATATGCTTATTGCCCAACAGCAATTTACACCTTCTTTCTTGGGTTAATCTCCTTGTCATTCTGTGGGTTGATGAAAAATGCAAACAATAACTAAATTTTATTACTTATCCATATTATGTTTTCTGAAGATATTAACGCTCTATGATAACTACCCGAAAAGCAAATTAAAATTAAAAGTGTATAACGGTACTTACTTTTGAGACACCCTGTATATTGTAGGAGTCAAAATAAGCATTTGAGAGAATTTAGGTAATCATTTATTTACTCAAATCCCCTTTAAAAGACTCGAAGGAACTCGACTCGCACAATCAAAATATCTTGACTCAAGTTACCACTAGAGAGATTTGACTTGAGATTTTTGAGCTAGTCTTTAAGATATAAAAGAATTGATCAAATGTTATTATCCCTGTTGATTGACGTTGTATTGAAAATGGTAAATTTATTTATTTGCTTGTTGCATCAATAACTCGAGAATAGGGGTGTGTCAAACTGCTGCCCAGGGTGAGTTTCTGATAATGATGCCCCTATTCTTTAAAATAATTTTGGGAATGGACAAAATAGATTTGTTGTTGGCTAGATACACAAAAATGAATATTTTAAAGTTGAAGTAGGAGTGAAATGTTTGTATTGATATTATTCAAATTATCATACTAAGCAACAAACTCACTCCGAGACGGTTGCTCCTATGGCCCTCCCTCTAGAACAGGGGTGTGCAACATTTTTATCAGCGGGCCATACAACCAACTTCAGACATCTAGCCAGGCCACACAAAAAATTTAGCTGGAAAGCCAACAGAAAAGAATGCGGCTATCGCTTACCCTTACAAAAATAAATGCACTTGATAAAACGGCAAAAGGTTTAACACAGTGACAACAGCAAAAAACATTGTGTATTTTTATCCATATGATAGCCTTTCTAAACATTAACTGTCGGATTAAGATTTTGGGCTTGATGTGGAAAAATATGAGTGTTGATTAGGTCCACACTAAATTGCTTGGCGGGCCGGGTTGTTGCACACCCCTGCTCTAGAGTCTAGACCAGTGCTCTTTAATCTTTTTGTTATTGTGGAACCCCTGATATCATTTTTCGTTATTTATGGAGCCCCAATAAACACAATTTAAAAAAAAAAAAAAGGAAAAACCCGTAACACGAAATATTTGTAATTCAAATATTTCTACTTCAACAACGAAACAGAAAGACGATAATGAGCGCGAAATTCAATGACTAGGTTGTTCTTGCATTTCCTTTGCAATCTTCTTGAATCGTGGCTCCCTGGCGCTCAATGCAATTCTCATACTTATGTCTACAACACTCTTTAAACAACTTTGCAACGACGCATCAACATGCTGAAGCAAGAACTAATTTCCCCTGAAAAAAAAAAAACGCGGAACCCCTAAGGAACCCAATAAACTCACGGAACCCCACTACATATATTGCGGAACCCCAGGGTTCCGCGGAACCCCTGTTGAAGAGCACTGGTCTAGAACAATGAAGAACAAACTACGGCTCGTGGGTCAAATCCGGCCCGTTGGGTAATTCAATCCGCAACGTCTGATGCTGCCACAACCAAACTAAAACCAAATTGTGATGTTTTGGGATCAGGGAATTTGTCAAGATTGTGAATAAATTTAGTTTTGGCACAAGGCTTATTGTTTTCCATGTTGCTTTTGTAACACTGTATACATATTGTTCACATAAAATGTAACTTTTACGTCACGCTTACATTGCTCGACAGCCTAGATGGGCAAAATTGTTGGTCCCTGGTCTAAAAACCTTGCCCCCGCCCCCCCCCCCCCCCCCCCCCTCTGCTCGAGATACTCCGTGTTGATGTCATAAAGTACATTTGTTATCACAATAATTAAAAGATTTGAAAACATATTTTCTATACTAGTAGCACACTTTTCAACCTGATTCATTGCTTAAAGGGAGAGGGAAAATGAATTTGTATATATCGTTGTGTTCGGATAGATATATATATGCATACACTGGTAGAAACATGTAGGTCAGGGATGCCATCTATGAATTTGTATATGTCGTTGTGTTCGGATAGATATATATGTGCATACACTGGTAGAAACAGGTAGGTCAGGGATGCCATCCCTGATTTGGTCAGAATTTGGCCAAATAGTGCAGGAGCCATTGTTTTTTTTTGGGAAGCGATATCAGATTCCACTAGAATTTATGCCCAAACAATAATTTTTAGAGGAATGCTTATGTCATAATTTTAATTTTCTTTCATATTATTTTATTATTAGATGAGGCATTTCCGTTGACCCTAGTAAGAATAATTTTATATCACAAAGCGGTTTCTTTTTGTAAGTTTTCACTTTCAGATTTCAAACAATATATTTGTTTATTGCTGACATAAAATATGTTTAGTGTATTTTAGTATTAATGTTGTAGTTTTCATTTTTATCCTCCCAAGTTCTAACAGCTTTAACATGAATGAGGTATGCAATCTTGACACACAAAGTACAATTTTGGTTTGTTGAGGTGTCACACACACACTTTGGTGTGCAAAGGTTTTTCAACTTGGCTTTGTTCGGTCATCTGTGTTGGGCAATGCAATGCTGTGATCTTTTCCTGTGCCTTCTTAACTGTAAGGCTAAGCGATAGCTTCATTCTCTTATATTGCCCTCCACATGGCGCTCTGGTAGTCGCTAATATATTTTGGTTGCTGCAGGCTTATTAACAACATATTGTGATGTAATAATTTCTCATCTCTAGGTGAGGAAATAGGTAATTCTTGATTTATGGGAGAAGGAAAATGAATTTGTATATGTCGTTGTGTTTGAATAGATATATATCTGCATACTTTGGTAGAAAATGAAGGTTGGGAAAGCCACATGCAAAAATTGTCAGAATTTGGTCAAAGAGTGTAGGAGCCATTGGTTTTTTTGTAAAGCCATATGAGATTCCACCTTAGTTTATGCCTAAACCATATTTGTTAAAATAAAATTCTGTTTTAGTTTTAATTTTCTTCCTATATAATTTTATTATAAGGCAATCCTATATTTGGCTTTAGTACAGAATAACTAGCAATGAGAAAGCAATGAGAACAACAACAAACTAGCAATGAAAACAACACTAGCAATGAGATTTTTGATTTTTTTAAATACAACTCATTATTGAATTTATTTGAGTTATTAGTAGGGATGGCCATAACCGAATACTGGACTACTCTGAATACATTCTAAAAAATATTTCCGAATCTGGAATTTCGAATACATTCTAAAATCCCACAAAGCATAAAAGTTATTACCTTCTTTAAAATTCAAGGACATAACTATTAGATAAGCTTCAATAATATTATCATAATAAAGAAATTTGTTTAGTTGAAATGCACGTATATGTAAGGTATGTATAATCGTTTGATATATGAACAAAAATCATTTGGCAAAATATTTATAGGTAATGTCGGATTATAAGGACTTTTTTGTGTATCACTGTCATAATTGAGATTTATTGGAGGCCCACTATTGGCTCGGCAGTCTGGCACATCCTGATAAGTGTTAGGAGTACGTCTGCATCTCTGATTATCCTGTGTGGGTTCGCATGCTTGAATCCCATGCGAGGTTGATTATATACGAGAAGATTGCCACTGGTCGGTTACGGGTTCCTACACCGCCAAGTCTATGCATCTGAAAACTGACTAACTAGTTAATCCCATACCCGACATGGAATGGTAATCGGGCGAGAGGCCTTGGTGTGCCATATGATTAGGCCATTTTATCATCTTTCGTCTCCCCCGGGATTAATATGTAGAACCTATCCTATCCACTAGAAAATGCCCAGCAGCCCACGATTGGACCGCGGCCCACCGTTTGCCGAGCACAGGATTAGAAAACAAAATCTGTACAGAAATTAGAATGCGTGGCGGAAAGGGCCCTAAGGCCATCAGCCCAAATGTAGTATTATGGCAGTGCAATGGACCCAATAACTTTCAAAGATTGGCAAATAAGTGCATTTTTATTTTAAATCTATAGGAAATATTTGAATACCACTATCTTTGAAGTTGGAAATTGAAATCCATCGTATTTGCTTCAAATTTAGTGACATATACTCTAGCAACACACAGTCACAAGTTTATTGATTGCCCTTACTAAAGATTGTTTGTGCTTGCAACATGTTGATTTAGAACAAGGGTGGTGAACCGCCACTGACTTGTAGGTCACAAAGTGTATATTATGCTTTATGAGTAGGCTTACCATACTAGTCAGTGAGAGAGAGTGACTCCCTATATTGTTATGTCATATCTGTTTCATGTGTGATATTTCAATTGAGCATCTAACATTACCTGCAATGCCATTAAATTATTCAAATGCCAAAAAAATGTATGTTCTCCAACCTACAATAGGTATGAAGGTTCGCCATCCTTGATTTAGAAATTTTGATTGTATAGTGAATATTACCTTTTTATCTATAAGTAATTAGCTACTTTTAATGACAGGTCTTTGATAATCTGAAGCAAAACTTAATATTGAAAGATGACATAATCTAATTCCCTTTCAATAGATTACTAATGGCGCCCACTAGCGGCAGAAATACATTCTACAGCAGGGATGTGCAACAGGCAACCCGCGGGCAACAATCCAACCCTCCAAGACATTTAGTGTGGTCCTAGTCAACACTCAGATTTTCCCCATCAAGCATAAAATTCTAATCCGACAGTTTATATTTAAAAGGGCTCTCACATCAGTAAAAATACATAGGTAATGCTTTTTGGCCTTGTCTCTGCATTAAA